CGAAGAGGCTAGGGAAGTGTCTGTTAGATGATCAAAGTATTGGGTTGGGCATCTCATGATTGTTTAGCTGTCCATATAGCAGATGGTAGCAGTTTATATTCATATTTTGGGTGGTTGGTTTTTTGAATGACTTCCAAATTCTGATTTTTTTTTAATATTGATTATATGAAGACTTGATAGTACAATTAGGGTAAGGTTCCTTAGTGGGTATAAAAGTGTTTTCAAAAACTTTTATAGTTTTGGCTCCCTTTTGTCAGACTGCAGTTTATTTATTTAGCCAGTGGTTGTGTGTGTGTGTGTGTGTGTGTGTGTGTGTGTGTGTGTGTGTGTGTATGCAGTTGCATGGGGGTCAGAGGTTGGTGTCATGTGGAAAGGCCTCATTAGAGATTGCATTTCTGCTCTCTCTGATCATCGAGACTGACAAGCTTATCCCGAGGGGCAGGTGATATGCCGGCTCTTTTGTGTATGCTTGACATTTAATAGCATCTTTAGTTCATAGTTCTCCTCATGACAGGTGTGGGATAAACTGTTTTCATGATGGAGTTTAGTCAAAGTCAACAAGCCTTTTAACAAAACAAAGTCAACTGGTGCTCCAAATAGGTCGTGAAAATAAGCTGCTGGACCCTGGTCATCTCTCGGGGACACTGTGGTGAGACTCAGGAGTGGGAGGGGGAGTATGACCATACCCCTGGTATCAATAATATAATGTTATGTTTTGTTGAATCACGGATGCACAGGTTAGTAAACACACACACACACACATACACACACACACACACACGTGCACATGTCATGGACAGACACGGCAGCTCTGATATTCTGCTTGTGTTCTCCCTGCCTTCACACGTGACCCCCACACAAGGCTGCTTTCCCAGGGGATGAACACTAACAGGGCATGTAGGCAGTGAGGGACTTCTGCCAGGGCTCTGAATCTCCATCTTGGAGGACTCCTCACAAGATCATGTGACCCTTCCCCTAGGGCCTCTGATGCTTGGCAATGATTCTATGAAGTTGCAAAGAGAAGAGAGACTCAAGTCTTTCATCTGGAGACCACCTAGCAATCCTGGGGCACAGATTGTTTGACTAGGGCTCATCACCCATCAGTGTAGCCTACAATTATAACTCCTCCTCTTCTTTGTGTTTTTTCGCTTGAAAGCTTTATTTATTATTATTTTTATGTGTAGACATGACTGTGCAGGGAACCATGGTGGTTACATGGGGGTCAGATCCCCTGGAGCTGGAGACAGAGGCAGTTGTGAAGCACTTTTAACTACTGAGCCACCTCTCCAGCCCCAGGATTTCTTTGGTTTGTCACATTACGAAGTGACAATGTAAGGCATGTAGTTCCCAGGTCCATCATGACCTCAGAGGTGCTACGTAGCAGTAAGCAAGCAATTCAGCTTGCAGTCTGTGATGCTTAGCAAGTACACCCAACTTTTAAGGTATGAATGCATCCAACTAATACATGGCTGGCTGCTTCTCATTCCTGGGAACCACACATGATCCTGGATGCCACGAGGCAGTCCAACTCCATCCTTTCCTTTCTCCCACACTGTACTTTTTGCTTAGGAAGAACTCTGGCTTGTTTATGATTTTTAAAAATTAATTAATTAATATTTATTTATTTTATTAATTTTAATTCATTTTACATGTCAACCACAGTTTCCCCCTCCCTCCCCTTCTTCCACTTCCCCCATCTCCCCCCATCTACTCCTCAGAGAGGGTAAGGGCTCCCTTGGGGAGTCAACAAAGTCTGGCATACCAAGTTTAGGCAGGCCCAAGCCCCTCCCCCCTGCATGAAGAGGGACACACATGTTCTTGATTTTTGTTATTGTTTTGTGGTGCTGGGAAACGAACCTAGGGCCTTATACATGCTGGGCAAGTGTTCTACCACAGCGCTGTCTTCCCAGCTGTTTCTGGATTTTGATCTGATTAAATTACCTGTACCCTAGAAGCTGAGCTAGGCTGAAGGAAACCGTTCCCAGGTCTCTGTTTGTTCCAACAGGCAATTCTCCCGACAGCTGCAAAGTGGATGGGTGCATCCTGACCACACAGGAAGAGGAAGACATGATCAGGCAAAAGTGGGATCTGCCTGCCCACAAGTGGAAGCCGCTGCTTCCGGTCACCAAGGTTCGTGGGGGGCAGTGTGAGGACTGACCCTCAGTCTCTGGAGAAACCTGGGATCTTGTACATGCTACGCATATCACTGAGCTCCACCCCTACACACCTCCCTACCACTGGGCTCCACCCCTACACACCTCCCTACCACTGGGCTCCACCCCCACACACCTCCCTACCACTGAGCTCCACCCCCACACACCTCCCTACCACTAAGCTCACCCCTACATACCTCCCTACCACTGGGTCCACCTCTATACACCTCCCTACCACTGGGCTCCACCCCTACACACCTCCCTACCACAGAGCTCCACCCCTACACACCTCCCTACCACTGAGCTCCGCCCCTACACACCTCCCTACCACTGGGC